ACTGCCCGTGCCTGAAGCGATGTTGTAAATAAAACGATTTTTTTTATTAACACGCTGAGACGATGCCACGACGACGAGAGGCGATCCGACAGAACGACTAAATACGATTAGATTTATTTCCATAAAGCGATTTTAATTTCAGGTTGCGAGAAGAAGCACATGATTTTCACAAGCAAGATCAGTTCTGGCGATGAGAACTCAAAAAGGGTTTTCGATTTTGACTTTTGCGAATTAGAGTTCATCTTGAGAGCCTCGCACTACTAGTGCCATTTCTGCATGTCAAGGTGTGTAAGAGCGAGGTAACAAAATAAAACAAGAGGGCCTCGGGGGACCTCTTGTCCGCCCGGCCGGGTGGACAAGAGGTCCCCCCCTTTCGCTGCCGGAGCGGCTGGCTCGCAGAAGTCCCCCCCCGCGTCGACGCGTCGGCTCCCAGCGCCGCCGTCGTCGTCCGCCGCTCGCTGGGTGGCGGCTATATGCTTTCCACAAGTGTATATGGGTACCGCGGTAGTATTTATACAAAATTTACAAACTTGCATAATGCTCGCGCTGTAGTGCGAATTTGTAATGCTGATTTGCTCACTGCGAATTTGTAATGCTAAAGTGCTGACTATTTGATGCTTTGACATGACATGATAATGCTGATTTGCGAATTTGTAATGCTCTAAAATGCTGATAAATACTACAATCTAGTGCAGTGGTTTTGGTTGGTGTTGGTTGCGACTTGTGTTGGTTGCGACTTAAGCCGTTGGATTGGATTGGTTGCGACTTAAACCAGACTCGCAACCCGGAGGGCAAGTCGTAACCTACCGCTGTAGAAGAGGCGCCGCCTCTATCTCTGAAGAAGCCGATGGACATCCAGCAGGTTATTGGAGTAGACCACCCGCTTCTGTCTCTGTCCAAATACGGGGCCCCGTAATAACAAGCATGGGGGGACAGACGGCAGCACACTGCTGCTGTCGAGGGTGGGCGAGTCTCAGCTGGTGCGTAGAGATCCGGCATCGCGCTTCGTGGTGGTTTATTCATTTCTGTCCTTTGTATTCTCGTACTGCTTCCAGAAACAGGAGCGCACTCTCCTTCTCCTGAGTGCCACACGCAAAAGCCTTGCGCTTAGACTTCTCGAATCACGACGGCACGGCGTGCCCTCATCGAGTCTGGTTTAAGTCGCAACCAATCCAATCCAATCCAACCAACCAACACCAACCAACCAAAATGCACTAAGTCGCAACCAACACCAACCAACCAAAACCACTGCACTAGTTTGTATAATCAGCATTTTAGCATTACAAATTCGCGCAAATCAGCATTACTCTCTATCATGTCATGTCAAAGCATCAAATCAGCACTTTAGCATTACAAATTCGCAGTGAGCATTACAAATTCGCATTACTAATAAATGCGCGCAATTTTATTTTTGTATAAATACTACCGCGGTACTTATATACACTTGCGGAAGGCATATAGTCGGCACCCAGCGAGCGGCGGACGACGACGGCGGCGGTGGGAGCCGACGCGGCGACGCGGGGGGGGACTTCTGCGAGCCAGCCGCTCCGGCAGCGAAAGGGTGGGACCTCTTGTCCACCCGGCCGGGCGGACAAGAGGTCCCCCGAGGCCCTCTTGTTTTATTTTGTTACCTCGCTCTAATTTCTATAAACTGCCAGCCGGAGATGCACTATGTTGGAAATGGATCACGGTGATGAACTATGTTGGAAATGGATTGTATATGCGTATTGTATTTTTATCTTTTGTTCAGTTTTTTTCTGCAAATTAGTCGTGCCATGAGGCAAATGCCCAACAACTGCGGAGGGGTAGCGGAGGGCGTAGACGGCACATGCAGAATCGCAGTGCCGTCCTGGTAGCAGAAGTGTAATGATAGATGGCATCTGCTTTCAAAAAGTAAGCACTTTGCACTTTTAGTACTATCCGCAGCTAATTCTTGGTCTAATCGACTGCAACTTGCCCTCCGCCCCCCCTCCGCTAGGTGAGTGTCAAGATGTGATACCATGCTGAAAAGCTTTTTATGCGTTTTTGATTTTGTTTCTCGCTTTTTTTGTCGGTTTCGCAAACTTTTAAAATTCACCATGCTATGAGGCAAATGCCCAACAACCGCGGAGGGGTAGCGGAGAGTGTAAACGGCACATGCAGAATCGCAGTGCCGTCGGGGTAACAGAAGTTCAATAATAAATGCCATCTGTTGTCAAAAAGTAATCGCTTTACACTTTTCATACTATCCGGAGCTAATTCTGGGTGTAATCGACTGCAACATGCCCTCCGCCACCCCTCCGCTAGGCGAGTGTCAAGAGGTGATACCATGCTGACAAGCTTTCTATTCGTTTTTACTGTTGTCTTCCGCTTTTTTTGTCGGTTTTGCAAGTTTTCAAAATTCAGCATGCTATGAGGAACATGCCCAGCAACTGCGGAGGGGTAGCGGAGGGTGTAGACGGCACATGCAGAATCGCAGTGCCGTCCTGGTAACAGAAGTTTAATAATAACTGCCATCTGTTGTCAAAAAGTAAGCACTTTACACTTTTCATACTATCCGCAGCCAATTCTGGGTCTAATCGACTGCAACTTGCCCTCCGCCACCCCTCCGCTAGGCGAGTGTCAAGAGGTGATACCATGCTGAAAAGCTTTTTATTCGTTTTTTCTTTTGTTTTTCGCTTTTTTTGCCGATTTTGCAAGTTTTCGAAACTCATCATGCTATGAGGAACATTCCCAGCAACTGCGGAGGGGTAGCGGAGGGTGTAGACGGCGGATGCAGAATCGCAGTGCCGTCCTGGTAAGAGAAGTTCAATAATAAATGCCATCTGTTGTCAAAAAGTAAGCACTTTACACTTTTCATACTATCCGCAGCTAATTCTGGGTCTAATCGACTGCAACATGCCCTCCGCCACCCCTCCGCTAGGCGAGTTTCAAGAGGTGTTACCATCCTGGAAAGCTTTTTGTGCGTTTTCACTTTTGTTTTTCGCTTTTTTTGTCGATTTTGCAAGTTTTCAAAATTCAGCATGCTACCAGGAACATGCCCAACAACTGCGGAGGGATAGCGGAGGGTGTAGACGGCACATGCAGAAGAGCAGTGCCATCCTGGTAGCAGAAGTGTAATAATAAATTGCATCTGCTTTCAAAAAGTAAGCACTTTGCACTTTTAGTACTATCCGCAGCTAGATCTGGGTATAATTGACTGCGACTTGCCCTCCGCCACCCCTCCGCTAGGCGAGTGCCAAGAGGTGTTACCATGCTGAAAAGCTTTTTATGCGTTTTCACTTTTGTTTTTCGCTTCTTTTGTCGGTTTTGCAAGTTTTCAAAATTCAGCATGCTATGAGGAACATGCCCAGCAACTGCGGAGGGGTAGCGGAGGGTGTAGACGGCACATGCAGAAGCGCAGTGCCGTCCTGGTAGCAGAAGTGTAATAATAAATGGCATCTGCTTTCAAAAAGTAAGCACTTTGCACTTTTAGTACTATCCCCAGCTAATTCTGGGTATAATCGACTGCAACTTGCCCTCCGCCCCCCCTCCGCTAGGCGAGTGTCAAGAGGTGTCACCATGCTGAAAAGCTTTTTATGCGTTTTCACTTTTGTTTTTCGCTTTTTTTGTCGGTTTTGCAAGTTTTCAAAATTCAGCATGCTATGAGGAACATGCCCAGCAACTGCGGAGGGGTAGCGGAGGGTGTAGACGGCACATGCAGAAGCGCAGTGCCGTCCTGGTAGCAGAAGTGTAATAATAAATGGCATCTGCTTTCAAAAAGTAAGCACTTTGCACTTTTAGTACTATCCGCAGCTAAATCTGGGTATAATCGACTGCAACTTGCCCTCCGCCCCCCCTCCGCTAGCCGAGTGTCAAGACGTGACACAATGCTGAAAAGCTTTTTATGCGTTTTTGCTTTTGTTTCTCGTTTTTTTTTGTCGGTTTCGCAAACTTTTAAACTTCAGCATGCTATACGTATCCTATACGGATTCAAAATCATATACACCCCATTTCCAACACGCATATACGTGAGTCTGGTGATTCACCAGACTCACTGACACGGACCTTAACGTAGTTGATCTCATCGCAATTGAACGTTATCGGAGCAGGTAGTATTTTGAGAAGAGAACTGTGCGACCCATGATAAGGATAATGTCCATCTTTCTCCTGCATGCTGCAACGGCGATTTCAAGAGTTCTTTGGGCTATTCATACATGGACTACAGGATCAGGAACGATCATGATCATGTTGATGTTGCATTCGTAGCCGGAATAAACCGTGTTGCTCTTCTTCGAGCGGACGAAGCTGCCGTGGGAAGAGGAAGAACTGCAGTAGAGGCGCGTTTATGTCGCTCACAATGGATCATTATCACCTGCTCTTCGGACCAGCACAACTACTCCAAGCGCATTTTGATTGAACCGTCGAGAAGTAGTTGTTTTGGAATCCTCCTCAAGAAGCGGCCGATTCGCAGGTCCCGGTGTCTTCGCCCGTTGCGTATATAAATTTTTCGCAAAACTCCACCTCCTGCATCAGCCTCGCCTACAACAGAGCCATTTTCTCATTTTTGTGAAAAGCTAGAAGAACTGACTCGTGGTCCGACAAGCTCGAAGACTTGCACTTCTACTCTACTCCAGGCCTAACTACTAAGCGTCAACCACAAATTCAGCAACGCTGCGCTTGTTCCAACACAACATGTTCCAACAGAGAAAGAACTTGTTCTACACGCAATTATCAAACAAGCAGAAGAACGGCACAACTACCCGTGGCTGACGCAAGGATGAACAGAGCGAGGATCATTTTCGTTGACGCAAGGAACAGGCTTTCACATCGCAATCATTTTTGTTCACTGGTCGTTAGAAGCAGAGCAGCCGGCTGCAATTGTAGCCACGCTAGACGACCTAGCCTGCATAGTTAGCAGCTGCCGCTGTAGGCTAAGTATAGCGTAGCTGCAACGGCGGCTGGCTGCTGTCAGCACTGCAGACGAGACAGCTGCTGTTTGACTCAGCAGCTGTCTCGTCTGCATGGTTATATTTTTTTTTGTCATCATAAGCTTTTGGTACAAGGGATAGAAATTCATTTTCACCTGCTGCTTCCGTGTTTCTTTTTCCTCCTCGATCGACTCTGTTGCCACAACACAATTGATCGACATAATTCCTTCTGTCGTGATACGGTGGCTATTGACTTGGTGACTTTCAAGTCCAAAACCCTCATCGACCACCTACGTGTAATAGTGGATTATGATCGGGGATCAGAATTCGTAATGCTAATTTCGAATTATATCCTATTTGTTTGTAATGCTAATTTCGAATAGTAATTGACTAGTTTTGAGATGGACAAAAACCACAAATCTTCGTAGTTCGCGTTTCGTGTTTGTCAGCTTGTGATGCTAGTTCTGCCATGCTACGCACCTCCTCGCGACCTGGGCCACAACCATTGTTGCGTACCACAGTCGTGGCATGACATGCTTTTTAGTTTTTTAATAGAGTCGTTACGTTCCTACTTTTCAATATCCTGTCCACATAACGGCACAGAAATATTTTGGTTACACAGGTGAAACATTTTTCAAAATATCTTCCCACGATGAAAGGTTTTGTGAGACAGGATTTGATCGCCGTGGAATAAAAGGTTTCAATTTACTGTGGATCGTCATCGTCTATGAATTGTATGTTGGTAAATATAACCGGAATTTCTTCCCTATTGACTTCTGACAAACATCGACACTTCTGCTATACTAGCTGGTCGTGAATGCACTAGATTTCCTACAGATACGATAGACTCCGAGTCGTCGTGAGACTTCCTCGACTTCCGAACCCGTGCTCTCCCGAAGTAGACTTACTCGAAAAGGAGAGAGGTTTCATGACTAAAGTGCATCTATTGAATGAGTTTGGACTATGAAATACGTGCTGGTAGGCCGCTTTATGATGACAGTCATCTTACGTTAAAAATAGAAAAACAAAACAAGTACAGAACTAAATGAGATGAAGTTTGTTCATGGAAATAAAGTAAAGTCACTCCTGGTAGGAGGCATTCAGCTAGAATTTCAAATATTTGTACTTATTTCAGCAAAATACATAGTAGAAGAGAGAAACCTATTGTACAATTTTGGAGGAAGAACAGAAGAATAAAAGAAGACTAGGTAGAAGTACATTTTTCCGCAACTATACTACAGCGGTTAACGAAAGAAACTCTATTTTACTTCACCTCCTTCAAAAAGCGGAAGTAGAGTTTCTTGGCCAGCAGCCGGTGCTTCTTTGACTTCGCATACCAGGCGGCGTTATCAAATGTAAAAATGTCTGGGTCTGGAAAGTTGGAACTTGTGATGCTAACTTTGGACTCTAAAAAAATGTGTATTGCATGACCAGTCAGAGGAGCCACATTTGTGCTACGCGAGGAGGGCATTTGTCATGCGGAAATGGTATCAAGAAGAAGAACCTTTCCAAAAATCTGTGATGCTGGGTCATGCGTTACAAGCATCATGGGTCATGCCAGACAAGCATGACAAGCCTTCCATTCTTCCAGACCCAGACATTTTTAAGTACATTTGATAGGCGTCGTGTCCGTGGTGACACTTCTGCTCCGGGTCCGCTCCGTAGTGCAGGATTAAGAAGTATCAAGTGCAAAAATGTCTGGGTCTGGAAGAGTGTAGACTTGTCATGCAGATTTTCCATGACCCATGAGGTCAGGAATGCGGGACTTAGCATGACAGACTCTGCAAGGCCAAGGTCTCTGCCATGCCTATTCTGCATGAGAAAGTCCGTTCCAACTTGGTCAAAAGTGGACAGCTTTTGGCATTCATGCGACACAGATTTTTGCATGCTTCAGATTTGTCATGACGAGTTACAATCTTCCAGACCCAGATATTTTTGCAATTCATAAGAAATGGCACAGGTCTTCCTTCCCCGTTTTCGCAGCGTAGTGCAAAACGGTCTGCCCGTTGTTGGGCCACTTGTTGTCCAGTGCCTTCCAGCCCTGGTTGTTGAGCATCTTGAAGCACTTCTTGTACTCCGCAGGCACCAATTCCTCCGCTTCGTACGGAGACATGATGTCACTCGCTTTGATTACTTTCTCCTGGCCGGCCACGTTAGAAGGCATGCCGGATTTCTCGTCCAGGAGGTCATTGCTGTTCGCGTCATCCTATGGACTGCAAAACAAGTATCGTACTCGTGGTAATTGCCGTCACGCATTACAAATTTTTTTCCCGCCAAGGTAAATAAATTAGCATGACAAATTCAATCTATCATGCTGAGGAAATTTCTCATGTCTACTGGTACGATTACGATACTGTTGCGATGCATACATCCAACTTGCTCTGGGCCTGCGCCTTCTTGGCCGCTTCCAGCTTCTTGCGCAACTCCGGATTCTTATGGGGGTGTCAGGATCGAAATCGACAAAGGTGAAAAAATTTGCAATGCATAAAATCGATACCAATTAGGCCCACAGTTTATAGTCGGCGCATGACAAAAGTTGTCCGTGCCGGAAGCCAGTTTGTCATGCTGTTTAGGACAAGGGGGCTCCCCTCTGTGATGCTAATCAGCAGCAAAAGTCGACCCTTACTGAGTAGCACTACTATCTGCCTCCCTTGCGTCCCCTGCAATAGAGGCAGTTTTTGCGTTGCATTTTATCCATGACAAACTATTTCAACGTTGACGCTTTCGATTCTGACAGCCCCGTAATTCTTCTGCAGCTGGTACTTCCACTCCTTTGCGAAAGCCTGTTCGTTCTATGAGAGTGCACACCTCGCCCCCCCTCCCCCTCATTTGTATGGCATGAACAGCAATACAAGTGTCGGCAAGAGTGCAGGTTTTGCATCACAAACTCGCCCAGGATTGTAGTGCTTTTTGAGCTGCTGCCAGAATCTGTCATGCAAACAGTGCAAAGAAGCAAAGACCGGACTCGGCATTTGCATGACAAAGGAGGGGCCGAGGGAGTTGTGCAACCTCATACGTTCGCCGGATTCGAGAAATCGACTTCCTCCGCCGGAAAACTGACCATCAGCCCCGGGATATCCAGAGGAAAAACGTCTTCACACCAGAGTCAAGATGGGAACTCCGCATCGGTGCCGTAATTGCAAGCCACTTTTTGCCCGAGCGCGATAATTCGGCACCCTAATTCCGGGAACAAAATCACTTTTCCCAGGATCTAAAACTGCGCTTTTGGCTTTGCAATTCGGTACCTCAATTGCAAGCCACTTTTTGCCCGAGCGCGATAATTCGGTACACTAATTCCGGGAAAAAAATCATTTTTCGCAGGATCTAAAACTGCGCTTTTGGCTTTGCAATTCGGTACCTTAATTGCAAGCCACTTTTTGCCCGAGCGCGATAATTCGGCACCCTAATTCCGGGAAAAAAATCATTTTTCCCAGGATCTAAAACTGCGCTTTTGGCTTTGCAATTCGGTACCTTAATTGCAAGCCACTTTTTGCCCGAGC